AAGAAAAACATTATTTGTAAAAAATGTTATATATTTGAAATAAAAAAAACTTAAATTTATATATATTTCTTTCCACAAAAAAAATTGATTTTCATAGAGGTGAAAATTTGAAGCATTATTTCTCAACAATTTTTTTCCTAGAACAGATTTATTATATAAGAAATAATTTTTTTTCCAAAAAAAAATATATGTCAAAAAGAATTCAGCAAATTTATTTTAAAAAATTATTCTAATTATAATTTATTATAACAATAATTGACTATACATATAATTAATTATTAAATAATATAATTTTCACAATTTTTAAACATATTTACATCATTAATATCAACCAAGTTGTAACTTAATAGTAGCTTCAAATTTAAATTTTAAATATATAATCATATGAAATATTTTATAGAATCAACTAATGTTATATTATTTTAACATAATAGTAATCTCATGATTGAATATGAAATATATAATCATATCAACACCCACATGAAAGCTGGTGTTAACTTTGTCATATATATATATATATGTATGATGAAAATTTGGATTTTTATGCCATTGGATTTAAAATTTTCATTGAAGACTATTTTTTTTTATTGCTAGTATATTAAATATAAAGTTAATTTAATTTAAATCAATGATTATGTTGGGTTGTAGTATTAAAAGTCAGAAACAATGATTGCAATAGCGATGATATATAGCCACCAAAATGGAGGCAGTGGCAGAGTGAGTGATATAAAATACTGCGTACTAATTCGAATTGACTTTGACAGAAAGGCTCTTTAACCAAACAATTGTACATGATAGTGAAAATAACAATCACATGATAATGTTTGAGAATAGCACAAATGTACACCATAAATTAGGTACCCTTCTTTCTCAAGCCAAAAAAATCATAAGTAAAAAAAAAAAAAAGATAATGGAAAAAGAAAATAAATGATGGTGAAATCAGTAAAAATGATAGAGGCTATAAGGTGTAGGGTTTAGAAGAATTCAAGTCCCTTAGTCCTACACAATGACTGAAAACAAATCAAATATGAACATTTACATTGATAAGCTTGTGCTTATTGGTGGTAATATCAAATTTTAATTTATTCAATTTATCTTTTTAATCGTTACTATTTCTTTTAATATTTTTTAATTGTGTGATTGATCCATTAGTTTCTGTCAATTATTAATCTTTATTTAAAAAATTGGCTGACCACTTTTACAATAAAGACATAAAATAGAATTTTCTTCTCAGTCATATTTTTTATTCATAAAATTTAATTTTAAAATTTTACTTAAAAAGATCAAGTTTAATTTTACTTATAATAATTTAGAGTTCGAGTCTAATATTTACTAATATAAACTATAAACTTTGGAACTTCAGTTTTTCATTTTAAATAGTTTAATGCTATAAATTAACTATTTTCTATCAACTTAGATTGATATAAGTGACAAAAGACTCATTGTTTAATTAATTGATCAAGAATTAAATTTTAATTTTTACAAACGTAGAAAATTCGAGCTTAGAGAGAATATTTACCTGTCAAACTCTCAAAGATGACTTTCTTGGATTCAACAATGAATATCCCGTAGTATTAAAAAAGATATCTCATTTTCTTCATTTTAAAAGTTCTAACACGTAACTTTGTCATGTTTAAAAAAAACAAAAACAACATTGTCATTTGATCATCTCATCTGCTCTTATAAAATACAAATAGAGAAACACGACAATGCTAACCATTTAATAATATCAGAATATTTGAATAATGGGATTAAAATTACATTTTTAAAATTTGATTTTATTAAAATTGAAATTGGTTTAGAATTACAATTTTTTTATTTGAATTGTGTAAAAGATCAAGATATATATAATGAAAAAAAAAATTAATTTTAGGTTTATTTTTTGGGTGTAACATCTTTGATTTAACACAAAATATAAATAAATGTCCAACATTAAAAATAGTTCAATATATAAGTAAGAATTCAAAATGAGCTTAAAAACAAAAGTACTTTTCTACATTTTAATTTCGGATAATATTAATGAATCAAATAATAAAACTTGTGAAATATAAAATAAATTATTTTAATAATCAATTTGTTTCTCTGTATTTTTCAAAAACATATATACTATACTTATTTTTTAAACCTATGTTAGTATAATTAAATACTTTTCCATGAAATAAAAGAAGAAAAAAAGAGAAGGCACGCTACTTTTTTGAGTAACGCAGATTTTAATTCCTATATGTAGAATTGTCAATTATATATTTAAAGGTTAGCTAACTAAAAAGAGATTGACCTAATTATTTTTGTAATCATTGAAATTATCATATAAAGTTATGGTTTAAAACTTCTAAGCATAAAAACTATAAATAATAGGCCTACATTTAACTTCACTCTGATTTTTTAGGTTTAGGATATTGCACGTTCATGTGTTGTGGTAAAATTTTTGGAGACATTTTCTTTAGTCATTGTGCAGAGGTCAGATACTGTAATTTTTTACGAATTTGGATACTTTCTATTTGTTGGTGTCCATTTTTTTTTTCATTATTGAAATTTTGAGTATATAAATAACATTAATATTTATGATAATAAATATTTAATATCATTTATACATTCAAAATTATAGAAATGGATAGAAATAAATGGTGAAGATCTTCACTCCATTTTTACACCACAATCACAAAGTACAAATGTTATTGAGAATTTATAGTGAGGTTAGAAATCATATACATACCTAAATCCTTCAATTATCATAAGCAAAAGTTCTACCAAAATACCATTATACTCTAAACTTTATACTATCTATTTTCAGATAAACTCAAGTTGATACCAAAAGAAGGCCCAACAACAAAAGGATCAAATATCCAAAAAAGTTGAAGTTCAGGGTCGAAAAGACGTGAGAAGAGCCATCAAATATTGGGCCGGTTATATGGGCCCAATCATCATTGGCCCAAAGGACCAAAACCCTAACAAAAAAATGAGACACATACTTCAATTTCTTCTGGTAAGTATATGTTACCAAAACGGCAAAACCTTATTTTCAACACCACCAACACTTTTCATATGAAAGTGATAACAACGTATTATCTAATACATTTTATTTCAAGAATGGATCCATTAATATGAAATAAAAAAAAGTTGACTATCTCAAGTATTATATGGGCCCAACCATCATTGGCCCAAATCCTAATAAAAAAACAGATACATACATCTATTTCTTCCAAGTAAATGGTACCAAAACCTTGTTTTCAACACCACCTTTCATTATTCATTATTCATATGAAAACAACATATGATCGAATACATTTTTATTTAAAGAATGGATCCTTTTATACGAAGAAGAAAAGAACTTGACTATGTCAAGCTCAAGTGTTAGAATGTCATTGTTTATATTTTAAATCACAATTTTAAAATAAAAATATATTATGTTGATGGCATTTATTGTATTGTTAAGATATTATATAATGCTAATGTGACAGTAGAAAATTTAATATTATTCATTTTAACACACTCTATATATAGTAAAAATTATCAAAAACTACAAAATTCACTCCTGTATGTTAAACACAAATAATTATTTGGCAAGAGTATTTTTTTTAGAAACTTCTCTTTAATAATAACATTTTTGGATATTTTTTTTTCTCAATGAGGATTTTTATAAATTTTTATTTATTTTAATTTTTATTTATCATATTTATTGCTAAATTAAATTTCAATATTTTAAATATATATTATCAATAATTAAAAATAATTCGGTGTCATAATGTAGATTATTTATCATAAATGTAAAATATAATTTATTTACTTAAAATTATCTATTTGTACAAATTTTAAATATAATATAATTTATATATTTAAATATAATACTTATTTATATACAATTTATTATAAATTTTAATTATATATAATAAAATATTTATCTATATAATAACATGTTAAAATACTAGTTATTAATAAAATTTGTTAAATGAAAAGATACAATTTATAGTGATTTCCAAGAAATTCGAGTTAATAAATTATTTGAAAACAAATTTTATAGCCATAATAAGTGAGTTAATTTTATCTCTTTTTTGTATAGTGCTTATTCCCTTATCCTAATTGAAAAGAAAAACAATTTTTTTTTAATAAATGTTCTAATTGAAAATCAGAGATTATAAATATTAATTATTTTAGTTTTTAAGATATATAAAAATGCAACAAACATAAAATAATTTTTTTAATAAATTTAATTATGGTTAAATTAGACTTTTAATCTTTTATCTTATTTTTAAGATTCATTTTAGTTCTTTATTTTAAAAATATTTTTTTGTCCTTTTATCTTCTAAATTTGGATTGATTTTTTATTTTTTAAAATATAATATTTTTTAATTTTACAACATGATTTTGAATACTTATTTGAGTGATTCAAGACATAAAACCTGTTCTATTAAATTCATCTCTATAAAATTATGAAATTTAATTGATGTTTGAACTCAAAAGAGCAATAAACATAGTGTAAATTACATGAAAAATATATCACACAAGAAATTAGAAAATAATTTGAAATAATCCTTGGACTCATTTTCACACAAATTTCATTGTGTATAAAATTCTTTTTGGTTCAAATAACAATGATGTTTAATAATTTTCATATAAGTGAATCTAATGAAATAAGTTTCAAATTTTGAATTAATAAAAATAAATAGTTTAAAATCGTGTCTTAAAATTGAAAATAATTATTATTTTTAAAATGATCAAATTAATTATAATTTAAAAGATAAAGTAACAAAATAAATATTTTAAAAAATAAAAAATTAAAATAAATCTTAAAAATAAAATAAAAATAAAAAATATAATTTAACCTTTAATTATTAAAGTTTTTTTTTTTCAAATTAGTTTTGTAAATTCAATTCCTTTGGTTTCCATAGACAACGGTATCCCACTATTTGGAAATTGGAAATTTGACACAAATGATTAAAGTACAAGTATTGGGCTGAACCCAAAAAGAAAGAAACCCAAACAAACAAATCAAAACCTAAACCAAAAACATAAACATAAACAAAAAAGCCACGAATTCATAAGTTTCAGCTAAATGGTTACCAAAACCTTTGATTTCAACAGCACCAACACTCTCAAATGGCAATTCGAAACCTCTGCAACATCTCCAGGTTCTTCTCAATTCGTCACTCTTCATGCTCCACCCTTTTTCTCTCTCTTTCCAACACCCCTCCTTCAAGTTCAAGCTCACCCCTTTTTACACCCTACACGTCAAGTAATTTGCTTTTCTCAATTGGGTGTTCTACTCTATGCTCCCCCAAACACCCTTTTGCGAGTTCTTCCAGTTTTCGCTATGATATTGATTATGGGCGCATGCATATGTATTTTTGTTCGTATACGAATACTCCTTACAGGTGTAGACCCCTTGCTACTTCAGAGCAAGTTTCTCAAATCATTGCATTGATTCGCGAGGGCATGGATGATTTCGGGTCCAAGTTGAATAGTATGAACGTGTCTTTGTCTTATGCATCAATTGTTGACATTTTTCAGATATTAGCACGTGAGAGAGTGTCAGCATTGCAGTTCTTTGATTGGCTTAAATTTTCAGATCCTGAACTTTGCCGTGATCCTGATATAGCTAGCTTGTTTGTTAGTAATTGTGGGTTGTTAGGGAATTATGAGACAATGGTTCCCATTTTGAGTGAATTTAGCCTCAAAAGGGTGTTTTTGGGAATGAAGGCATTTGGGTTCTTGCTGGATTTAGGCTTGGACAATGGTTCTAGTATGGAATGTGTGAGGAGAGTTATGGCTGTGTTCAATGAGGTTGGTGGGATGTGTCAAAGTTGTGGAGTTCAGTTGTTGATAGAGATGTTTGGTCTTTCAGGTTCTTTCGAGACGGCTGAGTTTGTGATTAGAACAGCCGGGAGGAAGGTGAAGCACTATAATGTCTTGATGAGGATTATGTGCAAGAGAGGTGATTGTGAAAGAGTGGCGAATTTGGTTAAGGAGATGAAGAGAAGTGGTTGTGATGTGGATGCAAGTTCTTATAATTTGTTACTCAGTTGTCTATGCAAGAATGGTAAAATTGATGAGGCTTGGCAAGTGCTTGAAGCTATGGAGAAAAACTATGGTTTAACTGATGCACATAGCTTTGATATTCTAATTAGCTTTCTATGTAAGCGTCGTCGGTTTGATTTGGTTTCAAAGCTTCTTGATAAGATGACTTTGAAGGGTATTGAGCCTAGTATTTTAACTCATGCTGTGGTTATAAAGTCTTATTTTGAATCTGGAAAGTTTGAGGAAGCACATGAGTATGTTGTTGATTATGCTGGTAAGAGGAGCTATTCCAGCAATGCAAACTACAGCTTGCTTGCTAATCTTCATTTGAAGAATGGAAATGTGCTGCTTGCTTGTAAGGTTCTTTCTGAGATGATGGACAAGGGTCTTAAACCTAATTTCTCAGCATATAAAAGGATAATGCAGCATCTTGAGAAGAAAGATGGAAAAGATTTGTCTTTGGAATTATCAAGAAAATACTTGAGCTTCATTGAAAAATGAAGGTGCTGGATTTTGTTTCACAAGATGATGTAATGTCATTCACTGTTTTGCTCAATAGTCGCTCTTCATACTGTGCAGTTCGGCTAATGATATTTGCTTCCTCAGTTTTTTTCCTGGTGTTCAGGTATGCACTACATTTCAGGTACTGATAGCCATTACTGAGAAAAAAATTATCTCTTTGTGATGATCTTCTTGATGTTTTAATGATGACAGAAACTCACCTCAAGTGGTTTGAACATGTGAGAAGAAGAACAGAGGGTCCTCAAATGAGTAAAGTAAATGGAATCAAATGAAAGATATTCCGGCTAAAATGGATAAAGGGTGGTTGAAGAAAACGTTGGAAGAAACCGCTGAAAAGTCCTTGCTTTAAAGTATTTAAGTGAAAATGAAGCTCTATGGTGTTCTAAGAGAACTTGGTTGTTGCTGACAAGTGGGGAGAAGTGTATGTTAACCTGGGCTGTGCATCCCCCCCTCCCTAATATATCCAAAACAAATTTTCATGTATTATTTATTTTTGTATAATAACAGAAATAGTGAAGCTTAGTCTCCCTAAACAAAGTGTGGTATGTTGCCTTTGGCCCCCTGATGCTAAATTCTTTAGCCTTGCCCTTTGTTATTCATATTTTTTTTTTTGTATATTTTAGTAGCCTATTATCTTGGAGGAGGGATTCATTTACTCAAGAAGTAGCTCTTTAGAGTTACTCCGCATCCTCACCCTTTATTTTATTTAAATCTAATGGTGTATAATGAATTACTAAAAAGGGTCACGTGAGAACTTTTCATGAGTTACTGAAAAGACTTACGTGAGAGCTTCTCTTATAAAGTTACCCGCTAGACCGTCTTGCTTTCTTTATACTTCTTTATTTCTCCTTTGGTATTGATTCTGGTTCGTATGGTATATCATTTGCAGAAAGAAAAAAAGGGCAATCAATTGTTTATATGATATTTATTCTCATTTTACTTGTTACATGAAATCTCACCTACTTCTTTCCACATATTCTCAATTACATTTTTCCTCTTTTTTATGTTATCGGCATTGAGCAAACTCAGAAACTTTGTAAAAATACAATGAAGGAATATGATTGCATAATTTTTAAAGATAGTTCACAATAAGCTACAATTTGCTCTATTGGTGCCCTATTATCTTTGAATCAAGTTATCATTTTTTCTGTTATATTTCTCCAAAAACATATAAATGATTCACAATGAAACCTTTTCTTTTAACACCAAAAGGAAGAAATGATTTTTGACTTTTTTTTAATGATTAACGTCATAAATTTCTTTATCATTTCATAGTTTATTATTTAATATTAGTATATTGTATATTATTAATAGTGATTATTTTAATAATTTATTATTTATTTTTTATACTAGCTAGTTGTTGGTAATATTTAACGTTAGAAATTTCGTTAGCATTTTATAGTTTATTTATTTGTGCCTTAGTTTATTTATTTATTAGGTCTATCATGCATTAATTTGACAGGGGCAAGATATGTGGTACTTGTTAGTGTGTTTTAAAAAAAGAAATGTTTATGTTATAGTTTAATTTTCATTTTGGTTGTGTGGAAAGGAGGTGGATGTTGCAATTTATAGGACTAAACATGTTCATTTTTGTATTGTGAAAGGTGCAAACATTTCGATTCACTATTCAAATTATCATTAATTAAGCAAGTCAAGGTATTAATAGTTAACACAAGTACTGTATGAGGGCATATTTACAACACAAGTTACAATTATATGATTATCACATGAATTTTACAAATTGAAAAAAGCGAATGTGTGCTAAATTATTTTCGACAAAAGATTACATGTCATAAGATACCATATAACATCAACTTAAATCCAATACTATCACCATTACAGGAAATTTTCCATAGCAAAATTGAATTTCATACCAAGTACACCCACAAGATTACAATTAGTAATGATAAATCAAATCCAACTACAGTAGAAACTCTTTAAATTAATACTCGGTAAATTAATAAACTCTCTAAAATAATAAATTTGTCCGGTCCCAACTTGGGCCAATGTAAAAAATTAAAAAACTCGATAAAATAATAAGATAATAATTTTTTGGGAGATCCCTTTATAATTTTCGGTCCCAAGAAAATCATAAATTAATAATTCATAGAAACTGAAAAAAAAAATATTACACTCTATTGAAATATGATTCAATAGTTGTCTGTTTTCCTTTAAACTTCAAGTCTATTTGGAGCTCATCTCTAACTTTTCTTATTGCATCCAATAGCTCAGGTTGAGTCTCAAGGTTCCCTGCAACGTAATTCTAAGAGGCATAGACTAATTTACCTTTTTGTTTGGTATGTACAGTATAATTACTTAAAAACTCTTTAAATTAATAATTATTAATTTATTGATAAATTAATAACTCCCTAAATTAATAAATTTCTCCGGTCCTGACATTATTAATTTAAAGAGTTTCTACTGTACAAAATTTAATTGTCAAGACTCATATATCGGAGTCAACAATGTTTATTCCATGAGTATAACAAAAGCTATAAAAAAAACATAAATCAAAGTAACAAAATATTGGACAAATTATCAGCTCAAATGACTGCAAATCTGTCATCATGAGTCAAATCATTACAAAAAAACCTGCAAAGATAGAATTGCACATTAGTTAGTCATTATAATAATATATTTAAATAGAAAAAATGAAAATAATTCAAAACATGAAAATCATTACTTGAATATTAACGTTGTCTATTTTTTTTTCTTGCAAGTTCTACTATTGTGGCCGTGCTCCCCACACTCATGACATGCTTTCCTTTTGACTAAGGATTTATTAAGTTATACTTCTAGCCCACTTTTAAGTCTATAACTTTGAGTTATTTTCTCTCCATCCTTTTTTCTCCCTTTTGTTTGTAATACATGTGGGTCTCTGATAATCAATTGTGGTGTTTCACTTCCTTGTTCTATTAAGCAAACTTCGTTGTCATTGTTTTGGATTGACTCCAAAGGATTGATTCCATCATCAGTAAACGATTTAATCTTCATTATCATAGCTAAGGTGTGAACACGATTGATTTCCATAACAATGAATTTATATATCTCCTGTGATTCTTTAGCAAGATCAACTAACATGTTTGCTTCTTGTTGTGCATGCATTCTTCTCAAAATCTTTGATGTATTAGATTGGCCATCAAAGTTATATCCAGTATAACTAATATCAATACCTTTGTTAGCATCCTTAGTCCAGCGTTGAAAAATGAAATGACTAGGAATTTGAACAACACCTTTTGCTTGAAATATTACCAATATATGTCTACACAATATCCCTAGGAATTCATAAAGTTGGCAACTACAATGAGCAATCTTTGTGATCAAATCTATGTCAACAATGAACTCATCTTGAGCTTCAAAATTGTTGGACACTTGATAGACATATCTAGGCCCATCTCTTTTGATCTTCTCTTTAGTAAATTTGTTGATCATCTCAAGCTCATCTTGAAATTTAGAAAACATATTTCTTGTATAAATAGATGCACCATGTTCCTCAAGTTTTGACTCTATTGTCAAGATGCATGATTTATGTCTGGATTCATAATCTTCTATTCTTTCTACCTCTAAGCGACTATCAACTGCCTTTTCAAATTTCAACACAAATTCTTGCAATGTCGTTGATGCATTTACAAAAGAATCAAAAAATGAATTAGTAGTCTTACTTCTTTGAGTTGTATTCATCCCAACAAAAAATGTGCTTCTATTGTAAATTGGTATCCAAGACTCTTTAATCTTATATAACCCTTGAAGCCATTCATTCTCCTCTAAGTTATACTCATTCATTAAACACTTCCATTCTTCTTCAAAACTTTGAATATTAGGTGCATTATAAATGCATCTTTTCAGCTCTCGCTTGAAAATGAATTTTTTGTGATAGATATGAGCTAACTTTTCAGGAAAATTCTTTCTAATATGCCATAAACAGAGACGGTGTCAACTTTCTAGAAATACTTTTGCTAAGGTAGCTCTCATAGCTAAATCTTGATCAGTTATGATAGATATAGGTTTTTTACCATCCATTGCCTCAAGCCAAGTTTCAAATAACCATATAAAAGAACTCTCTAACTCATCTTGCAACAAAGCGCAACCAAATAAAATTGATTGACAATGATTATTCAATCCGACAAATGGAGCACACGACATACTGTACTTGTTAGTTTTATACGTGGTATCAAAAGTTATGACATCCCCAAATTTTTGGTAAGCTAATCTTGATCTAGCATCAACCCAAAAAAAAATTGATCATTCGAGAATCATCATCACACTGAATTGCATAAAAAAAGTTTGAGTTTTCAACCTGTTTTCGTTTACAATAATTGAAAACAGCTTGAGCATCTCCAACATCTAAATTTTTCCTCCAAAAATTTCTAATATGATTCCAACAATCTCTATTAGAGAATGTTGATTCACCATTATGGAAAATGGTAGCAACCTTTCCGGTTGGTATGCCTTCTTCCTTAAAATTTTCAACAAGGCTCTTTGTTGCACCACTCATCTTTTTATGACACCTCATATAATAAATACTTCTTGGGCTAATAGTAACATGGTTATGGTCATTGTTAAATGCAAATATAATCCAATTGCTATTTATTGTACCTCTTGAAACAACCAGTGAAACTGGACAACCATTTTGAAAGGTTGAACACTTCTTTTCATTTCTATATTTTTTCATTTTGACCTTCACTGCAACATACCAAAATTGATCTCTTAGGTTTACTTGAATGAATACGTACTCCAAATCCTCTCTTCTTAGCAAATGAATTGTAGAATTCTCTAACTTTTTCAAAAGAAACAAATTTCATCCCTACACAAAGTTCAATATTGGTTTCCTTACCAACATTTGGAGCATCCAATATAATATTTTCATGCCATATTTCTAAGTCCTTGGGCATAGCTTCAAAATCACTACCATTGTTGTCCATTATTTGTAGCTACACCAATTATAAAAAGAAAAAATTATCTTGTCAATAGATGCTATATGTCAATAATGGAAATATATATAAGAAAATTTACATATTTAGTTACATTTTTTACTTGCCCTTTTTTTTTTTTTTGCAAATGATATACCATATGAACCAGAATCAATATCGAAGGAGAAATAAAAAAGTATAAAGGAAGCGGGACGGTCTAGCGAGAAAGTTTACAAGATATGTTCTCACGTAAGTCTTTTTCAGTAACTTATGAGAAGTTTTCACGTGACCCTTTTTAGTAACTCATTATAAGTCATTAGATTTAAATAAAATAAAGGGTGAGGATGCGGAGTAACTTTAAAGAATTACTCCTAGAGTAAATGGATCCCTCCTTATTATCTTGTACATTTACTTCTAGAGGATAAAATCTCTAAGTTCATCAAGAATATTTAGAGTGTCACTGTAACAGTGTGTACAAGGTACAGATTAAACTTCATTGGTGCTTGTACCAAAGGTGTATGGAACTGAATTCAGACCAAGTTGCACTTGGTTGCAGGGCACTAACCAAGATCGACGAAAATAGAAAAATAAAATCAATTATTGTTCATAATTTCACTTTTGAGTACATCAGCTAATTCAGTTCACTAAATAATTCTAAGCAAAAGGGCCCTTATGGCTGTCATATATGAAAGTGGATATGAAAAAAGCTTATGATAAGCTAAAGTGAAGCTGTAGTTGTAGCATTCTGTTGGAGGTCAACATTGGTATGCAAAATTGCAAACTCTTTAGTGGAGTTGATCTCGACTTGTGTAACTGCTTTCTTCAAAATCCTTAACAATAGTTAGATCCTATTTAGTAGATCCCTTCTTATGCCCCAGGGGCAGAAAGACCCTTTAATATCTTCATAATATTTCATGTGTAA